AACTTTGCTGATGATACAGAACTGAAGTAAACAATGATAAGCCAGAGGATCATGCTGCTATCCAGAGGGACTTCAACAAGCTGGAGAAATGGGCTGACAGGACCTTAATGAACTTCAACCAGGAGAAGTGCCAAGTCCTGCAGCTGCGAAGGAACAACCCCCAATCCAGTATAGACCAGGGGCCACCCATCTGGAAAGCATCTTGGTGGAAGAGGGACCGGTGGACACCAAGTTGAAGATGAGCCAGCAATGAATCCTTGCCACAAAAAGGTGAATGGTATCCTGGTCTGTGTTAGATAAAGTATTGTCAGCAGGCTGAGAGAGGTGATTATTCTCTCCTCCTCAGCACTGGTGAGGCCAGACCTTAGTACTGTGTGTACTTCTGTGCTTCACAGCACCAGAGACACTGCAACCTACTGCAGAGGGTCCATGAAGATAATGCAGGGATTGGAACTTGTAAGAGGAAAAGCTGGGACTGTTTAGCCTGGAGAAGAGAAGGTACTGTGGGAGGTCTTACTAATGTATTTAAATACATGAAGGGATGGTGTAAAGAAGACAAAGCCAGGCTCTTTTCAGCAGTGCCCAGTGACAGGAAACAGTCAATAAGCACAAACTGAAACACTGACTGCTCCATCTAAACATCATGAAACATTTTTTTTTTCAACTGAGAGGCACTGCACTGGCACTGTGACTGTGCACAGTTATGGAGTCTCTGTTGGCAGAGATACTCAAAAGCCATCTGAACGTGGTCTTGGGCAGCTGACTCTAGGTGGCCCTGCTTGATTGGGATGGTTGGACTAGGTGAACCCAAATGCCACTTCCAACTTCAACCCTTCTGTGATTTCCCAAAGTGTGTGCTACGAAAAGTCTCTGTTACTCTAATGCTGGAAGAGGAGACTGGTCTAGTTGTATTTAAATGTGGTGATGATCTGAGGTCTGTTTATGACCTTAAACAGTTGTGTTTTATTTTTAGAAGTTTTTCAATTATTAGACTTCTGATGAGCTCTCACGTTGGTCTTTTCAAAGTGAATGTTACAGTATCTGAGCAGAGCAGTAGAAAAGCTATTGCCAATAAGACATGAAGATTACATTCTAAATATCTGTAATACATTCACAAGCTAGGTTTTTGAAAGAGCCATCAGTTAATCTCACTATTTTGTATTGGTTGCAGAGTTGAAAATTTGTTTTTAAATAAGAAACAGATGTAAAAGCTGGCAAAGACAATAAAGAACATATGTAAGAGAGTTCACAAGGCTTTTAAAAAATATTTTGCACTATTTGACCTACCAGTCTGAAGGCTCTTGGCTTAAAATATCACTTGAAATTGAATGTATTTGTTACAATTAGAATGTCATAATGTATACTGGAGATAAACAATCCTGGAGAAGTTTTTCATTACATTCCTCTTGTGGATGAAGACAGGGATTGCCTTTGCCAGTTCTCAGAATGTAGGCTCTTGCTTGCATTTATCAGAGGGTATGAGTCACAGTCTTCTATACAATGAAGAATTTAGTACTACCATCCAAAAAGATTCTGATGTTAATTATTTGTAGGTTAAATGTGCATGTCTTCTTACATTTAAGGGTTATTTTCCAGTCTGCTTTTCAATATGCTTGGGAAACATTGAAATGCTTTGTACCTACAGCAGGCAACTTGATAATTATCAAACTATCATAGGTATGTGTTTGAAAATGAGAGCTTTGTTTCATTCTGATTAGTGTCTGAAGTTCTTGATCTGCTCCCAAGACTTCAGTATTTTTTCCTGTACTGATTCACTGAATGAGGGATGCTGTGTCCTGTCAGCTCTGGAGCTCAGCACACTGTTTCCCTGTGAGAAGGGAGTGCTCAGTCTATTGCCAACATCCTCTTGGCTGCCTCGTCATGCTTCATTTACAAATTCATGCAGGATACTCTCAGGGACTGTGACTTCATCTGTTTACCCACAATCAACTGGGATAGTAACAGCAACTGGTTTTCTACTAGTATAGGTATCCTAGAAATTCTCAGTGATCAAACAAGCTAAATTAGTGAAGTTTTCAGTGTGAACAAGATAGTGGATTGCTACCAGCTGAAATGTAAAGAAAAATGAGTGGTTACAGTCTCAGGGTCAGTGTGTGTGGGACTGTATAACTATTGTATACAGAAGGACATGGCAAAATGGAGTGGCTGGAGAGGAGCAGTGTGAAGAGTACTGCATGGAAGCTACAGAAAATATAAAGGCTTTGTATTAAGTTAAAGAGAATTGCTAATGAACCAATATGAAGCAGAAGCAGCTGTTTCGATTTGAATGAAGAATTAATAATGAGTGGGGACATAAGCAGCAAAGGACAGTGGCAAGATTAGGCAGAAACATGAGGGTAAGTTTGAGATGGAACATGAACAATGTTGTGGCAGCAGAATGAAATGCTTTGTCGCATGTTAAAATCCCATGATGAAGGAGCAAATTTATTTTCTCTGACAAGAACACATAAACTTTTTCTGTAACTTCATGGCATGAAGGGAGGCTTAGTAAACTCAGCTTCTCACAAGTGATGTACTGTGTGCATTGCCACTGCAGCATTCCATGGTCAGAAAACAGATGAAACCAGTATGTATTCTGAAAGCTTGCTGGTCTATAGCTGAAACAAATAACAAAACATTGCTATGTATGAGACATCAGTAGAGACACTCGGGTAATTTTTCCCCCATCATCCACAAAATTGGCTTACTTGTGTAGTTTGATTTCTTAACTGGTTAGCAGGTGGTACAATCAAAAGATGACAGACCTTGGAGAGGTGTCAGCACAGTGTTTGAACACTTGTAGGTACCATAAAGAGCAAGTCAGCACTTTTTCCATGCATTGCATATTGAAAGTTGCTTTGGGCCCAAGTAACTTGTGTGGATAATGAGCTTTCCTGCAAGCTGGCTGTGGGTGTGAGAAGAGTGCTCGTGGTGAGGAAGTTCTGCTCTGTTTTCTGCTTGTAGTGGCTCTGTAGCTGTTCCTACAAGGAACTGGTGTCAGATTAACCAGTTCTTTATTTCTAGACAACCTCTAAAACCAGTTGGGTTTTATGCTACACACTGTTCTCTGAGAACAGCAGCCTTAAATTCAACAGAAGCCAAAGCATTACCTGAGTGTTGATGCTGTGTGGGTATTAAGGGAGAAAAATTGCAGTAGAACAGGGTGTAACATTTACAGACACTTATATAATCAAGGACTGTGTTGCATTGGGAAAGATACTTTATTTCAGAGTTCCTATATTTTTAACTTTTCTGGGAATGCTGTGATTTTTGCAGATTTGAGTGTTTTGTCATTTAATTCGTGTCTACTCAGAGGGTAAAAACAACTATGGAGAGTTAAGTGTATAAAATTTTCTCTGTGTTTGAAAAACAGAAAACAAAACCAGACTTTTAAAATGAATAATTTGATGACAAATTGTGTATTTCTTCAGAAGATGATTTCATCCTCATTTTTCTGAGCAGATTCCTATCAAAGGAATGAAGCCAGTACCTGCTCTTAATTAACTTATTAATTATCAGTTGAGATATCACTGAGTACTGGAGCCAAAAGAACAGCAATCTTCCAAGAACTAATTGGAAAACAAAGATCACCTGTGACAGCAGAGTCATTGCTTGTAATTGAATCGTGTGTTATTGAGTGCATTTATTTGCAAATACTGTGGTGAACTAAATCAAATCTATACAATATCTGCATGAAATTGCCCTGCAATCTAGTCTGAGTTATGATAGAGATTTTGCAAAAATTGGCCACAAAAAAAAAGACAAAAGAAATCAACAGGAGCTTTAAGCATAGGTGATTCAGCCCAGTAAATACATTACAGGTAATTGTGATGCTGGATGTGTAAAACAATTATTTTAAAAGGAGCTCCAGGCATGAAGAAAATATTTTTCAAAAGATGAAATAATATAAGTACTGGTCTCCTTCAGTTGCTTTTACTTGCCTCCTGAGGGTTGTGCAATATTTCCTTTTTAGTTCCAAGCATGTGAAGCTAACCAGAGTTGTCAGCTTCTGTCAGCATCTCTGTTCTCGCCTAGTTTTCTTCAAAGATAGTTTCAGTGACGTAGGGTGCCGTCGAACTTGTTCCTCATGTGATGGAACTGAAATGTGTGCTTCCTCTTTGGGGATTTTAGTGGGTTGTGTCTCCATAGTAGAGTTTTCCCAGAGTTTCTAGCTAGCTTGCTGCATTTTCTCAGAGCCTAGGTCTCCTCCCCTTCATGATGACATTTCCCTTCAAGGACTGCATCTGTGGTGCTGTGTATGTTGAAAGGGCTTTGGGCCATATTCAGAGAAAATTTTACCATATGTTTGGTACCTTTTGGCTTATAAAACATCACTCTATGTCAAGCTACTGATGTTCTAATACAATATTTTTGAACTGTGCTTGATCTGCCCTTAGTAAAGTTCTGAAGGAGGTATAGGATCCTTTGTCTTTTTTTTACATTACCCTGCCCATGTCATCACATTTGCAAGCTACAGGTGATGCCCCATCATAGCTACATCTCTGCAACAAACTTTTCTGCAAGGATTGAATTCTATTCTGTTTCTTTGAGAAAGAAGGTTTTCATTACTCTCTGTCTTGCCAAGTAGAAAAGTAATTTTTTGAATGTAATTGAATACTGCTTGGACTTTACTTATCTTTGCAAAACTGTGGGAATTCAGAGACACTTAATCCACAAATTTGGCTCAAAAAAGCAGAAGACAGTAATACTATTGCACTGGATAGGGTTGAGTCCCACAGGAAAACACAATAGTAATGTAGTGATAATTTCAGTATTACATTTATTTTAGAGATGCAAAACTGCATATCTGAAGCAAATTCCAAGGGAAACTTACATATTAGTACCAACGATAATGAGAAAGTATATACATTAAAATTCAGCAAAGGCTTTATTATCAGTAACATTCTAGAGCTGCTTTTCATAAAATCTCTTATTGGTTTTTTGCAAGTAGCTTCTATACAAAAGGCATTTCACTTTGAAACATTTTTTTTCCAATAGTCTCAGCTATCGAAGTTTGTTGTCCTGCTTTGCAAAATATTAGCAAATCCATCAAATGCTCTTTTCTTCTTAACAAAAAACTGGTCCCGTCTTAAATTCGTCTGACTTTTTTGATTGAGAGCTTCGCTGGAATTTTGGAGGTGTTCTCCAGCCGTTGTAGAATTGTTCTCCAGTTCCGTTGTAGTAATATCATCCTCTGTCTTGCTGGAATCAGAGATTGTATTTCCTGCAGGCTTTTGTGGGAATGAATGTGAACTGTATCGTGTGCTTTCACTGAAGAAATCTTGTGGGACTGAGAAGGAGTTTGTATCCTCGTCACTCTGATCCAGTTGGAAATGATCATCTATTGTGAAACCTGCCTGTGTTTTCCCAGAAGTGCAAAGCTGCAGCAGATCTGCTGTAAGATTACAAGGCTGTGTTTCTTCAGGTGGACTGCATTTGCTGGTGTCCTGTATTTCTGTGTATCCATCACAGTTTTCCTCCTCAAAACCTCTGTGCATTTTATCTGCCCAAGCCTTAGTTGTGTTCCCCTCCTTCCCCTGTGGTAGCAAGTCATCTTGCTGTGTAATAAGCCTAAAATGTTTTTCAGCTGTGCGTTCAGGCAGAGACTGAAGAGATGATTCATCGTTGGAATGCAGCAGCGATGTGTTTTTAACAATTTCATTCAAGTCAGTATCAAAGGGAGCAAAAATAAAGTCATTGTCCTCAGATGTACTCATGTTTCTTCTTAATGTTCTCCTTAATGCTTCACCACTATTCTTTTCAGAGGAGTTCCTGGCTATGTGCTCATCTGTATTCTCCTCTGGTGCATTTTCTTTTTGTTCAGTGGCACTGAAGCTGAGGGAATGCTGTGGGTCAGTGGGAAGCTGATACAGCTGCATTTCAGCCTCTTCAGGACTTTCCTCTATGTCTGTGTCATATGTGGGAGAATGTTCTACCATGTTACCAAAGTCTGTACTTTGATTGTGGAGAGAATCAGAATCAGGGGTTTGTAGCGTTGACTCTGCATTAGTAAAATAATCCAACTTACCTGGAACTTCTTGACTTGAAGAACTAACTGTGTCTGGATCTGACATGCTTACATGGTCACTGCATTTATCAGCATAAGGGGATGCTGGTTCAGCTGTGGTGGCATCTGACCCATGATTAATAATGGTTTCATAATATGCACTGTTCTCATCTTCATTTTCCCCAGTATACTGAAGTTCAGCCACAATGTTTGGAGACTCTGGTGGTGTTGAGAGCTCCACAGTTTCACTGTTAGCATCAGCTTCCTCTAGTGACAGCTGACAGACTGGCATGTTGTCACTAACTACAGGTTGTTCCAGTTCAGAATCTGCTAAAGAACTACAGTCACTCATTGTGAATAGAGTCCCTTCGTCTGAAGAACTGTCACCAAATACATCTGCAGAAGCATTGGTTTCATTTGTACATACCCTTTCACAGTCATACTCACTAAAGGGAGAGCCTTCTACTGTTAAATAGGTGCTTGAATTCTCAATATCTGTATCTCTTCTGGAGTTATTGGGTAAAATAACATCTCCCACATCACTAGTCATATTTGTGTGCTCAATATCTGTATCTCTTCTGGAGTTACTGGGTAAAATAACACGTCCCACATCACTAGTCATATTTGTGTTGCTGTTTAGACCAAGTTGTTCATCACGGCTTTGCCTTTCATGCTTAAATTTTGTAGTGTGCATGGGTTCATTATGTGAAACAATATCTTTTCTTTCTGGAGAATCTGGTGTAGCCTTTGTCATCTCAGAATGTTCCAGACCAGAGTTGTTGCTTACTCTGCTGTTTCTAGAGTCTTGTGCAACTGTACGTGTTTGTGTTGTGGAAAACGGAGAGTTGGTTTCTCCCATGAAGGCTAAATCTGAATCTGAAGAGTTGGTGTGATTTGAGTAAGGGTCAGCATTCAGTCTTCTGGGTATGGGAGGGAACCTGTTCTTCTCTGAGTGTTTGTTCTTTGCATATGTTGAATCTTTCCATAATGCAATGTCATTACTCATTGATTGTCTTGGTGTTACTTCATTGCTATTCTGGTAATCTGTCCTTACAGAAAATAGTCCATTATCATCAGCATTTGCATTTTGATAATGGTCAATATTAGTTTTGATATCTGAAAATAGTGATTTTTTCTTCATGTTGCTGGGGTTCTGATGCTCTGCTTCAGGATTTAGTGGATGTACACCACTAGAAGTGACTCTTTCATGCAAAGTAGAAGATTCTGTAGGACACGTGTCTGTGTATCTTGAAGAATCCTCATCACAAATTAACAAATTATGCTGTGTATTTGTTGGTTGATTAACAAATTATGCTGTGTATTTGTTGATTGGCTTGTAGAAAACTCTTTGCTCAAGGTTTCATCTGAAAAAGCTTGATTAGTATACATTTGGTTTGAACCTGAATTTTTATTCCCGTGCATGAGTCTCCACAGGCTCACCAGGTAGGGTCTAGCAAAAGCACCCAGACAAAATGCACAAACAAATGTAATGAGCACTGAGAGGGAGACAGCCAGTGCAAGGTCTGACTCTGTTCTTCCTTGTCTAAAAACACTGTTAGTGTCCCGGGCTTTTCTAACCAGAGATGCTGAAACCCTCTCTTTCACCTGTAGATTGTAAATGAGATAGTTCTCCTTTGTTGTATTAAAAATACACAAATATATTCCTTCAGCAGTTTTCTCAGCATTGTGTATCACTAAATTATTCATTTTATCCAGTGTCATATGAGGAAGACTATGATTTTCTGAAATTCTGCCTTTAGGTGTCCACCAGGAGACTCCATTGCCTGAAATAAAAGGAGAAACCAACTCAATCTTTCTTAAAAGCTTGGTTTGCAGAGTCAAGGTATTTCTATAAGAATATACTCTGACCTAACTTTGATAATTTTAACAATTTATTATAATTTTTTAACGGTACTAAGTCTGTTAAACCATCATATATTCCCCCCACCACCCCCCTTCCATTTTCTACATGCTTCAGAAGTGCTACCCCACTATTTGGTCCTTTGTTTGGGTCCAAAATTAACTGCTACATTTGCAACATACTACTTATTGAAATTTGTTGTCTATAATTTGGGATAATTTATTAGTTTAATGTAAGGAAGGGGATGAAGACTTTCAGGAAACATGACTTTCAAATATTCTAACCCATATACTACTTTCTAATGAAATAATAGTGCAGATTAACTTGTTCACTTATTTTTAAACAGTATCTTTAGAAATTCACTTTTAAACCCAGATTTCTTTGATCTTTCTGCATGCATTTGGATGGAGTCCCTGATGTAGGGACTTTAACCATTTAACCAGCAGTAGGACAAGGGGGCACAGACTCAAGCTCTGCCAGGGAAGGTTTAGGTTGGATATTAGGAAGAGATTTTTTACAGAGAGAGTGCTCAGACATTGGAATGTGCTGCCCAGGGAGGTGGTGGATTCACCATCACTGGAGGTTTTCAAGATGAGACTGGATGGGGCACTTAGTGCCATGGTCTAGTGACCACGGTAGGGTTGGACTCGATGATCTTGGAGGTCTTTTCCAACCTGGTTGATTTTGTGATTCTGTGATTCTATGTACATACCCCTTGTGTTGTCCAAGTTACAGTTCAGCACTGATGTGCTCCCTGTTGGGATTAGGGCCGTCTTGAGCAACACACTGTCCCTGCAGTTTAAATCAGAGCTTGAAAGATACAGCAGAGGTTTTTGTGAGTTGTTGGCAGACTTATTATATGAAAGGCTCCATTTTCTCCTTGTGGTGTCATAAAGGAAATGAAATAAGCGTTTGAAAGTGTTTAGTCTGCAGTTAAATATCCAGCCATGATTTGCCAAATACACTTCAAGCCGAAAGAAGTTCCAAGTGCTGAATATCTGTGGTAGAGGGATTGCCAGAGCATTTTCACGGAGATCCACAACCTACGTGGAAATAATTCAGAATTAATTTGATAAGCCTTACAATGAAATCCTTACTGCAACATCCACAATGTTTCTTTTAGTATACAAGCACTTCTTTAGTTATGCGAACAATACATCTGTTTAAGATTTCAATAACATTGTTCTAAGCCTATTAACATACATTAAAAGTTTAAATTGTGGCATATTCAGACTTCTCCCATTGCAGACCTCCCTGTGTGGGAATGGGAAGTTGCAGACCTCTTGCCATGGAAGGGATGGGGGTAGAAAAGGACATGTGTGTGCTTAAGGCAGTTTCGGACTGGTTTATAGCATAGATAAATGGTGATTTTTATGTTATATTTTGTATATTTACAAGTCTGAGTGTTTTCCTATATATGAAAAGCAAACATAAAAAATTCTTATTCTCACCATTTGCTTTCATTTTTATAATTGTATACTAATATAATAATCAGAGCAATATAATCATGCTGAATATTGTAATTAATATCTTTAATGGTGATTAGAACATTGAAATAGTGGTTATACTGCTTTACGACCTGTAATTTGTTGAGATCCCTGAAGGCATCTGGATGAATTTTAGTTATCTTGTTGTTCTGCAGGTCAATGTCCTTCAGCTGTGAACAGTTCTGAAAATCCTTTGGGTCAGTTCTGCAGGTCAATGTCCTTCAGCTGTGAACAGTTCTGAAAATCCTGTGGCTCGATCTGTCGTATGCTATTGGATGCCATACGGACAGTTTGTAAAGATTGCAGCAGGCCCAGTCCTAGAAAGAACAGAACTAGTTCACATTTCATGGTCTGCTTTCCCAATTGCATACAGTGTCTTTAGAAAATTCTTTGCCACAAAATTCCTTCCATTGCTGTCTGCTGCAATGAGTGGCTGCAGCCTTTGTGTTGTTACACCTTTCCTATTCAGTGGTGGTCCCGTTCCAGAAGCTGCATTGCATCAGCAGCAAACATGGTCAGACAATCACAGTCAATGCATGTTTTATAAACCAACACTTTCATAAAAGCAGTAACATTCCTTTGTGCTCTCAGAATTATTCTGTGATCTCTGAATGTGCTTCTCTGGAGCACTGGAGGTAGGAAAAGAGGAGTGTGAAAAGGGTGTAACATAATCAGTTTATAAGATCCAAATATGTTTATTATAAATAAAGGATGGAGATACAAAAGGTGATACAGCATCTCCTATCCATTGCCATCTGCAATTTCATGGGATTTTTTCATATGTGGAATTATTCAGCATCTCCTATCCATTGCCATCTGCAGTTTCATAGGATTTTTTCATATGTGGAATTATGTGAACTGTATTCATAGGATGTAAACCTGACTGGAAACAAAATTGTGTTGTTGCTTATGCCTGTCTGCCTGTGAATTATCAAGCATGACAGTAAATTCTTCAGCATATCCTAGTTACAATATCATCTGTCTTGCTTAAGGAGCCCTTATGCAAGGATCTTATTTCTCTTAGGTGCTGCGTAAGCAGCTCCCTGAGCTCCAGACTGCAAATTCCACTGGGAAGCCAGGCACTTGAACACTGAGCATCACCACAGTTTGCAACACCCCAATGTCACTCTAGTGAGTTTTGATCATACAGCATTGTTGAGAAGCTAGCTACTAGTTCTTAAAAATCTTACCCTTGGTGTCATCTGGTTTACTGGAAATCTCTTTTCTCAGTTTGCATTTCAGTTTGCTGAGTAATTGATCTTTGGATTTATTCTGAAGAGCACAGGGAATGATTAATTTCCTGCTGTAAAACTACAGGTAGCTGACAGCAAAGGCATTCAGAAGTTCTGGCAGTTCATAAATTCTTCCTTGCACCTGCATGAGGAATTGTACTTTGGATGCTTCCCTGAAACTAAACTTGTGCCAAAAATATAACACTGGTATGGCAGCAATAGGCATCAGCCTGATGCCTGGGGTGGCAGCTGTGAGAAACCTCTCGCTTTAGAACTGCAGTTTCTGGTTTCTTACCAGAGCTTAAAAACTAGAACATTAGTCAAGTATTTTGCACAAGGAAAATAAAGTTTTGTATTTAAATGAATACGGGGTTTAAGGAAACTTGAAGTATGGTGGTACCATGCATTATTTTGCACAAGGAAAATAAAGTTTTGAACATGTATTTAAATGAATATGGGGTTTAAGTAAACTTGAAGTATGGTGGTACCATGCAGAGCAATTTGACATCTAAAAATTGAGTTTCTAATAGATAAGGACTGATCTCTCTGACCCATTGAGGTATCCTGTAATTATATTTATCTATCAAAACAAACCAAATTTGCATCAATGTACTTGGTGAAAGCTTTTGTATACTGTCTATATGAGTACCTTACAGATACTACAAAATAATTCAGTGAAATGGGTTTCCAGTGTGCCCAGAGAATTATTAATTATCATAAAAGGAGAAAAATAAAACTTTCTGGGTCCTGTGTAGGTGCACATTTACTCCCTTTGCCTGACTTTGTGGGACTAGTGGAGGTTTTGTTTGTCACCCCACAAATTTTCAAACTCTAGAGCAAATGTATTTGATGATGTTATCAGAAATCAATAAATTCAACACAGCATATAGGATAGGGTAACTCCTTTGGCAGCTTCTGCTTCATTCAAACAGTTTGGACAATGTCAATCATCCTTTTATGAGGCTAAAGGCTAAGCTGCCTAGCACAGTTCACTGACCAGCAAACCCTTTCTAAAAGTCTATCAAAACCTTACAGCCCTCTCCTGGTACACCAAGGTGGCACCTTGGTTGTGTGTCAGATGGCAAAGAGCAAAATTGTTTTGACTGAACAAAGTATGTTTTCCTGTCTTCATGATACTGAAATTGCAGCAAGTTTTATTTAAGAGTGTTGACTTCCTTCTGAAGGGTAGTGTGAAATTCATTATCCGTAATTTTCTTGATGGTAAGGGTCATGACTGGGTTGAGGAGGCTGTTGTTTTTCCAAAAATCATTACTTCCCTTTCTATACAAACAAACAATAATACTGCTTGGGCTCCTAAGAGGATAAATTTGGATATATCTGACTGATATTAAGGCATTAGGGTTACCAAGGCAGCATAAAAATCTCCCAACCTAAATCAAAACAACCCATTTGCTTCCATCTCTCTATTTACACATGGGGGACTTTCCCTCACCTTAAGCATAACTAAATGAGAAAATCTCACTCTGAATTCAGTAAGTTGTATGGAATACATCCAAACCCAACTTACCCCTTGGGAGTCAGGTCCTTAAAGATTTTTTTAATGCTTACCTCTTGGAACTGTATTAAGATTATTTCTTTCGACTGACAGTATTTTCAAAGCAGGCAGGAGATGATCAACTTTTCTGTGTGTTGTAGAGCCACGTGCAGGCATAGGTGTGTCCAGTGTGAGGGTGTGGATGGCATTACCATTGAGGTTTAAGGTTTCTAAGACAGGTAAATACGTACAAGTAGTTAAGGAGAGTTCAGAAATCAGGTTGTTACTGAGGTTCAGGTGTTTTAGCATCCATTTTTCATTTCTTTCATCAGTGCACAGAAAAGTTCTAATATTATTGTAACTAAAGTCAGCTGTTGTTGCTGTTTGTGATATAGCTTCTGGGATAGTTGATATTCTGGTAAAAGAACAGTTCAGCAAGAACTCCCCTTGCCACCAGCAGTCTGAATGGTGATGTGTTTCAAGAATCCACTGGGACTTTGCTCTCGCTGATCCAGGAAGGTTAAAGAAAAGGACCACAGCTATGACACTCAGATGAAGGTTAGCCATAGGATCTGTATGTCAAATGTAAAATTATAGTTAAGTTCAGCATAATAAGAATTAAATAGAAAGAGGAAGTACTTCAACATTAAAAAAAATCAACACCAAATAATCAAAGTATTACCAACATTCTGCCTTAAACCTCCAGTTTTTGGAGTCTTATGTATTTTTCAAAAAGAACATTCATAAACTGGTAACCTTCCCCCTCCCTCCACCTCTCCCCAAACCCAATCCAAACCTTTTCTTTCTTTTCCAGCACTTTGTTTGAGAAACTCAACTTCTCAGGAGCCTGTGAACGAAGAGCAGTGGAGACTTTTGAACTCTGCTTCAGGTATCGCAGACAATTACCACTGAACAAAGTCCACAGGGTACAATCCATGACAAACAGGTGTGGAGTGTTTTTCATAGTTAAGAGTTCATAAAATACTAGTTTCACTATGAATAACACCACAATGTATTTTAAATGAAAAACTATATTCTTACAAATAACACTACTGGACCATGGCTGCATCTTAGAATTTATTGTTTCATTTCAAAACCAAGAACAGAAATTCAATTGTGTCTCACCCATTCCAACAACTATTGCCTTTACATAGGCTGAGAACTCTTCACATGCAAGTTGTTTCAGCGTACCCAGTATGGCATTTTACAGAGACTTGCACAATGCACTTTAAACACACATGATCTTTAGTGCATCTGTGGGAGTGAAACAAATAATGTGCCACACAACATTTAATACGTATAGAAAAACGTACCTTAGGCAGTTGTTAGAAGGTAACAAGTAAATGCACAACACAAGGCATGTATGGTGCCAACATTTCTCAAACTGTGTAATATAAATATAAAATATATTAACATTACATAAACAGTGGCTAGCAAATTGATAATTTATTTCTTTTGGTATTTGTATGATTGGTTTTGCTACATTTTGACAAAAAAATCCACACTTCAAAAACAATTCTCCAGACCATGATTTAAGAGTACCTTTGTGAGAAATCTTTCAGCTACACTGCATACAGTATTTTAAAAAGAACTCTTGATAATGACAAGAATCCAAAACTAGCATACAGACATGTCAATATGAACCAGAGAAGAGCTTCAATATGCTCTTTGTGTGGAATCTACTCGACTCAGGCAGCATCTGCCACTTTCAACATCTAATTCAGCTTTGAGGATCCTGCTCCTTTTATTTATTTTTATTTACATATATGTGTGTTTATATATAGAAAAATAAACTGAAAAACTTCTATTAGCATGAGAATGAAAATTCTAAAAATGTTGTAGTTTATTTCCTCATCTTCACTGTAACAGATACTGAGGCACTGCTGAGCAGCAAAGAGGTATGTTTTCAGCAAAATGTGTTAAAGTGTTTAATAACTGGTAACTAACAAAACTATGAAGTTCATGAAGGCAGTATGCAAAATGTTAGTACTTCCCCAGAGTCTTTGATGTGAGCAATTAAATGTCTTTTGCTATCTTTTATTCTGTTTATTATCATTTTTGTCAGAACGGCTCCACTGCTGTCCACCCCCAAAACTGAGCATCACAATCCTGCTCTGCCTTTGAGCAGTGAGGGAAACACAACCTCTCTGACCTCCCATGTGGTGTAATGCCTGGCCCTACTGATCCCCCTCTAGAAATCACTTCCATCCATACATATCCTGCATGAGGATCCCCTCTAGAAATCACTTCCATCCATACGTATCCTGCATGAGAACTTAATGACTTCCAGTAAATTCAGGAATTGGGACTTCAGAAGTGAATTTCTTGTTACAGCAAGAGCCGATTTCTATTTTATAGAATGCTATGTACTTTGAGAGCTGTAAAACAAGGATAGTTTATCCTCCCATAACAAATGACTGATTCTGAAATTAATGTGTAACATTTGTGGAAATTTTAGTATCAGAAGTGTGTGCTTATCTTGAAAAACTTGCAAGAAGCTGTTGCAGTCACCTTTGTGGCCTCCATTACTAAGGTTACTTGATACTACTGCAAAACAAACCTATTTTAAACTGGACAAGTACAGGGTGGGGAAAGGAGGAATCTTTATAGACAGCTGTTCTATTTTTAGCACAAAACCCCTCAGTGCTGCCATGGCAGTTGCAAGGCTGTAGTAGGCCCCAGTTCACCGCAGATAGTTTCACTGCTGACAAATTCCGATCCACATGTATTTACTCTGCTGTTCTACCCTCACGTTTTGAATTATAGACTGCAGTTTCAGAATTTAATTCTGAGGTACTCAGTAATGCATCAGTACTGACATTTGTGGGGAAAGAGAGCCCTGATCTCTGACACTGCTGCAACAGTCATGCTTGAGATTATTACCTGCCAAGTAACAGACTCAAGACACTGTTCACATTAAAGCCTCCAGGAAAACACTATTTTTGTGTAGTGATCATGTTATAAGTGCATCTTTAAAAATGTACTTCTAATATAAACATGTTTTATAAATACTTCACATAAATTAAGCAACTGCAGAATGCCTTAACTGCACAAAAGGAATGGGAGCTCAAGCAACACTTCAATAACTGCAAGACTATTTCAAAACTGAAGTTACATTTCCACACTCAATATTACTTTGCAAATACTATGATAATTTCTGTAATGACACAAGAATATATGGCAGAAATAATCTGATATTTTAAAGTGAATCTGCCATTACCCCTCTCCTTGCACACATCTGGTAAACCATGTCAGTTTGGGGAAAATCTATGTATCAACAAGAAATGAAGACAAAGCCAGACTTCAGCCATCTTAGGCAAATCCACTTCCAATAACAAACTGACATTCCTCTTGAGGTACTTCAGATCACAGTTGTGTTCTCAGCAGTCCTCAAAGTCTTCTTGGGATGTAGGACAAAAACCTCCTCCACAGGCAATGGAAGGCAGTCCACGTTGTTGCTGAGATCATGTTCTTAAATATATTCTACTGCTCCCAACTCAAGAAGGTATTTCTGTACACACATACACTGAAAGCTTACTGAATCATCACCACTACTGCAGCTACCAGGATGGTGACATAATACTGCTGACCCTAGCAGCCTTTCCTTAAAAATATTACGTAAGAAATGTTAGTATAAACTGCCGTAAAAACAGAAATCCTTGAAGGCATGCAATTACTTCATACAAATATATGTAAACACAAAAGAGAACTCTCCTGGCAGTGGTTTGTTTTAGTGTGTGGCTCCACACGGGTTGACAGAAGTCTGACAACCCATGTTATAACCTGTCACCTGAACCTTGAACAGTGTTCCATCTGCACACATGCACAGCTTAAAACGCAGCCAGTTGCCATTGTTGAACTGCTCCCCATAAGAAGAACTTGGCAGTCGTGAGGGGCTGACCATCACAGTTCCATTCAGGATAATGCTGTTTTCCTATGAGGAAAGAGGAAAAAAAAAAGTACATCTAATTTAAACAAGGCAGGCTGGTTTTGAGGACATGCTGAATAAATCACATCTTTAGAACGGCTGTAGAATCAACAGAATAAAAAAGGTACATATAAAAAGGTTTAATTATTTTAATGAAATTTATAATAATGTCCATGGATTTCTCAATTACAGTCAGCAATGTACTTTGCTATTCCAGTGGTAGGTCAGTATTGAGACAGACAGCAGTAGTGTGGCTTTTCACTTTACAGACCTATTAACAAATGCAGCAAGTCTAAAACCATGGACATGAAATGGGGGAGTTGGTGTTTGAATTCATACATGAAATTGATTTACACTTGAAAGTGCATATACCTCCTCTAACCATTCCCATCATTCCATATGCACTGCAATCTTAACCATCTCCAGAAATCTAAAAGCAATGCTAGTGAGCCTAACTGTGACAGCACAGTTAGGCTCTGCTCCTCTGGCAAAGGAGAGGACTTTACTGGCTGACCCCAGTAAAGCTTCCAGAGGAGAAGATGAATTCCCTCTGGTATTCATTTCATTGCAGAGGGCCAATAGCTTACTTTTAATTGCATTGTGGGTTTTTGCTCTCTTAACAGTAATAAATCACTGCTGCCTGAAAACTTCTGCACCACAAATTAACAGCAAAGTAATAAAACACTGATTTAAATCCTACTAAATACACTGACTGAGTTTTTATGCATGACTAGTTTATATAAAGTTTGAAACCATGTCAGTTTACTATCAACTGAATTTGACAATAAACTATTAAAAACCGCTGATTTGAAATACTTACAGCTTTCAGTTCCATGTTCCCACCCATTCGAAACTCAATGGTCTTGCCTGTGATGAAAACACCTTCGTTTCCACGGACAATAGCACGGCCATCAACCTTTATGTTCAGATCACTGGTTGCATTGCTGGTAATCTAAGAACATAACCAAAATCCAGTGTATTACAGATCAGTGAAAATGTGTCACTCGTGTTTGTCTGAGTAACTTTACCTTAAAAGTACTGCTATACAATTTAATAAAAAAGGTCAATGTGCTGCTTGCTCTTCTGCCTTTATGCCTATGAAGCTTCTGCCCATTTGTTATTTTCCACGTTCGCATTTAAAAACAGGATTACTTAATTTTGGAAGGTATGTGAAATAGTTTATTTTTGCAATCAAAACTACAATTCATAGGACAATTTTATGGGATACACAGCTAACACTTGCAGCAAATACAACCTTCCTGTTAGGACTAGTTATGTACACTTACCCTCTGTTTTCACTTAATCTCTTCCTCCTATGCATTTATAGGTTTGGGGTTTTTTTTCTGGAACAAGATTGCTCAATGCTTCCTAAGGCACACTCGACCCTGTGTAAAACCACTAATACTACTCTACTGTTACAGAAATTATGGGCTTATCATTATACTTAACAAAAACTAATTTAGAAGAGACATACCCTCTCTGTAGAAGCCTTTTGTACATTCAATATTTTAACTCCATTTGGCAGATGAAACTCATGAGTTTCATAGTCTGTGCTGAACAAGGTATTTTGTGTCCGTGGGTCAACAAATTCCATGCCAATATCGCTGGTAATGGAAGTTTTGTCTTTTTCCACACTAAG